TAAACACCTGACAAACACCTGACAAACACCTGAAACACCTGACAAACACCTGATAAACACCCGACAAACACCTGTTAAACACCTGACAAACACCTGACAAACACCTGAAACACCTGACAAACACCTGATAAACACCTGACAAACACCTGATAAACTCCTGACAAACACCTGATAAACACCTGACAAACACCTGACAAACACCTGACAAACACCTGACAAACACCTGTCAAACACCCGACAAATACCCGATAAACACCCGACAAACACCTGACAAACACCTGACAAACACCTGAAACACCTGATAAACACTTGACAAACACCTGATAAACACCTGACAAACACCTGACAAACACCTGACAAACACCTGATAAACACCTGATAAACACCTGACAAACACCTGATAAACACCTGACAAACACCTGACAAACACCTGATAAACACCTGATAAACACCTGACAAACACCTGACACCTGAGTTCACTCCTCTACGCTTAGAAGTAAGAAAGAGGGAGACATGAAGAGAACAAAAAGCAGGCAAATAAAAAAGATTGTCCTCATTTAATTTATCTTCCTGAATTTAATCGATCATAATATGAACTGATTTATTGTTTATTGTGACAGGCCTAGGCAGTGACTCTGACCTGCCACCAAGTCAATGCTCAGTGTAAACATGAGCTGTTCGGGTTACCTCCAGTTATAACATGTTGGTGATGGGCTGTTATTCAAAAGTAACTTAAACTGATACTGATGTGGGCTTCTGCAGAACAGAACCTGTAAGTCTGGACAGTAAAGTATGTTACAGGAGAGTGGTGTACCTGGTATACTGTGTCTCCTCATGGTCATGGTATGTTCAGGACCAGAGATGTCCTTCGTTTTTCCATATGGGCCGTCATCTGGAAGAGAAGAATCATTTATAAACCTACAGATCACACAGCTGCTGGAGCTCGGACTTCCTGTGACCAAAACCACCCGTTTATAAACATCAGGCGGCTTTTTGAAGACAAATCAAGAGCTGAGGTGAGAATTCTTCAAACTGAAATATTCTAAGACAAATAAAGAGTTTCATATATCACATTATTCTGCCCACAGTCACTCATTATTACAGACTAAAGTCTGAACTCATGTTATCAGTGGATGCAAAACAAGTTTAAGAGTCTTTTTCAGACTGGATTTATCTTCTGATTCTTAATTTTTATACTTTTTCCCCACAAAGTTTACATTTTCCCACAAAGATTACTCTAAAAAAAAAAATAGAAAGTACATGAGCTTCTTCAGATTTTGCAGAAGCTGCAACATGTTTGGGAGTTTCCTCCCATCAACATAATCTACTTAACAACACTCATACAACTATATTTACTTTGTACAAACTCCTGTAAGAAGATTAAACATTACAGAGATTTAACTAAATTAAACATGTTGGTATTATTTCTGTAGGTCCATAAAAAGGAAGGGAATCCTGACAATTTATCAGAACAGATTCTGTTTTAGTGTCTGACAGAAAAACAACAGACTTAAATATTTGATAACTTATATAAAAAATGTAATTTAATGAACATTTATTGTCCTAATGGCTGCTGACAGAGTTAACATGAAGGAAGAAAAAGCTGAAATTTAAAACTTTAAATCTTTTTACATGTTTCTCTCCAAACAAAACACCTGAAAATCCTAAAAAGTCTGAAATATTTATTACATGCTGCAAAGTCACTTTAACAACACTGGTTAAAGATTCTCCTGAAACAACTGTAGCTTTTTTCTCATAAAATTAATTTTCTACACAAGCTGCTAACTTTAACAAAGCTCAAAGCTGACAGAATCAACAAGAAGACAGACAGAAAAACTATAAAAATGGTTGTATTGTTTGGGTTTGGTGAGCGTGCACAAAAGAAGCTGTTGCAGAAAACCTTCAGATACACACATCTTTAAAAACATATCCACCTGTATTTCAAAAACACAAAACTTATCCCACAAAAAGCTTAATTTGTGTTTGGACTGGAGGTGTAAAAGCAGCAGAAACTGTTTTAATAACCTGTGGAGGAGTGAGAGTGAGGCCTCAGATAATTCAATAATCAACTGTATCAGTTTCATTGTTCCTCACTTTGTTTGCATAATAATAAAGATTTCTGATTTATTTATTTTGTAAAGATACCATAAAAACAGCATGTTCAACTGTTTTTTGTATAGAAGAAGAAACCTGGTTTTAATCTTCAGTTCCTTGTTTGAACACTGACAGTGCAGTTTGTCCTAATAAGTGACTTAATATGAGTTTAATATTAAGTAGACTGTTGATGTGAAGCTGATGTATGAAGCATGAGGGGTTTGTCTCTAACTCAGTCTGACAGCTGGGACACAAACTGGACCTCTGAGGGGACACAATGTGTCCTACTTTACAACCTCAGAGCTTTAGTTCAGTTAAATAATGTAACAAGTCACTTCTCATTATGGAATCAAGGAGACTTACGCCTCAGCTCCAGCGTAAAGATCTTTCCTGAAACGCCAAAGCAAACATGCATTTTTAATGCTTTTTAGCACCTAAAACATTTTAAACACACTTGCTAACAAGTAGACTGTAAAACGAGTTTGAAGTGTGTGTGTGTGTGTGTGTGTGTGTGGGGGGGGGGGGGGTGTACATCTGGGTGAGAGAATTTATCCATATGAACACAATAAATGTAGTGAAGTTAGAGATATGTTAAAGTCTATAAAATCTATAAATAAATAAAAATATTTATAGTCTATAAATCTAGTGGTGGGCAGCGCTAATCCAAAAATTAGCTCCGCAATTTCTAAAGCGCTTATGAAAAACATTTAGGTCCACAACTTCAAAAGCACTTATGCCATAGAAAAATTAGCGGAGGCTAATTTTAAAGCGCAAGTTCAATTTGACACTTTGAAGCCGGCAACAATTCGTATGCAATATATGTACAACACTGCCAACTAGCGGTGTATGAATCCTTTTACAGCTTATTCCTACAACTGCCGATTGCTGGGGATGTGATTTCCTGAAACAGACCTTTAGCTCCTGGTGTAAAAATTAAAAAAGTTGTTGAGGATTGCTAGTTTGGCTGCTTCTTTGTCTTTTTCTTTTGTTTGTTGTAGATTTTTCATTAAAGAAGCATCAATAAAGTAATTTTAAAACCGTTTATTGGAAAACTGAAGCGATGCATTCTGAGTACATGACAGATTTGATTTGTGACAGGAAACGAAAGCACGGAGTACAGGAAACTATCTTCCCTTCAAAATAAGAGCTTGGATTTTAAAGTTTTCCATGTAGTTGCTCCAGTTGACCTGTTGGTGAGACGTAATAATTGACTCCAGCGTAGCTTCAGCGTCCGGCAGAAATAGGATCTGTTCTAATTTTGCCAAATCGCCGTCCGCTCACTGCTGTCCTGCGCAGCCAGTGTAAACACTCTCATTGACTATAACGGGTGCGTATTTGCTGCGGAGGTCGGACCGCAGCGGAGTGGAGCCGGAACACATGTAGTGTAAATTAGAGGTTAGTTTGAAGAACTTTGATAACTTGCTTTTTAGGGCTGTGTATTGGCAAGAATTTGGCAATACGATACATATCATAACAGAGGGGTCACGATACGATATATCCCGATATATTGCAATACTGTAAGCAAGGCAATATATTGTGATATATTGCAATTTCTTGTCCAAAAATTCTATTAAATAAAAACCTCTTACTGAAGAAAAAAAAAAAAAGAAAAGCTAATGTTTACTTACAATGCTTACATTGTCTCCTACAATGCTAATGCTATACTTACTCTCTGGCGCTCAAGAGGTAGAGGAGCCAAACGGCTGGCTCACTGCTGCCAACTAGTGGTCAGAGGCTGAACTACAACATAAAAATGAACGGTTGGCAAGAAGGTTGACATTTTGAACCTTAATTAAAATTCGATACAGGGCTTTAGAATATCGATACAGTATCGGGAAATGAAATATCACAATATTTCAGTGTAGCGATATTTTCTTACACCCCTATTGCTTTTACACTTGAGTCTGGCCCTGGTGATGTTGCACACTCTCCCGTGTCACCTGAGTGGTCTCAGGTGTCTCAGTGGTCTCTCTCACTGTTCTTATCTCACTTTGTTCCCATTATTCCTTCCATTTCATGATGATAGATTTAACAGAACTCCTGGAAATCCCTTTGCCTCCATCCTGGTTTGTACCTGTCAGTAATCTTTTCTCTGAGTTCAATCAGGACAGTCACTTTTACAGGGGTGAATATTTATGTGTCACTTCTGAAGCAGCTAACAAATCTTTCACACGTGTTTGCTCGCCGTTAACTCCTCCAGAGGAAGCCAGAAGAAGAACAGTTTTAGTCACAGCTTATTTCTCCTGGTTCAGCTCCTGCCAGGTTCTGTGGCTGACGTATTATTTATCACATCAGGCTGTTGGAAACACTGCGTACACTCCGTTAGCACAACTTGTGTCACCCTCACAATGATTCCCATGGTCCTGTCCCGCTGCCAGCTCACTCTGTTCCCCAAATCTGTAAACGTCTGATAATTTAATGTGTGCATGTGAATAATTGGAATGTGATTAGGCTAATGGCTGCTGGCGCTGTCAGGTTACTGAACACGTTGAGTTAGAGATGAAGAGTCAGGCCAGATTTTCCTCCTCCAGCAGATCTAAAGCTTGCACCCTGAGAAGATTCTCAAGCTGAGACAGTAATGACTTTAGTTTGTGTGCTGCAGGCGCAGGAAATGATGCTTTACAAAAGAAAAATACAAAAAATATTGTCATTTTTCTAATGTTCAGAGTTACTTTTCTGCAATGGGAGTACCACTGTTAACTTTAAAATAAATTGAACAGTTAAATATGATGTCACCTCCCAGATATGTGTACACATAAACAGTATATTAAACGATACAAAATAGAAATAGTTTAATATAAAAAAATGCACGTTCAGTAAAAAAGTGTTGCTTAAACCGAACTGATCCATGATGCAGCTGCAGCAGGAGAGAAGCTGATACTGTTTATTAATTACATCTCCATGCATCAGTTTGTCTTTCTACCACACAAAATCAACAAACGAGTGGAAAAAGCAGACAAAGATTAAAGAAAAAACATTTAAAAAATCCTTCAGAAAGTCTAAAAAACTAGTGATCAAAACCAAAGATCACAAGAAGAGCTTAAGGCCATGTCACACTAAATTTATGCCAACTTATGAAACATTTTTATGTCTAAATTGCTAATAAAAGTTCTATATTTGATGATTTTATTAGAAATACATAATGTAAACACCAAAAAGAAGCTTCCTGTTGATTTTTTCAATTCCACCTTCGATGTAGACGTCTTTAAAATGTTGGCATAAGTTGTCTAAAGTGGCGGGGCCTTTAGAATAAAAAAAGACTAAAAGTCACTAAATAAAAATAACCATCATTTAAACTGAAACACCTGCAGTGTTTGTTTGTTTGTTTGTACGTACGTTTGTTAGTTAGTTTGATTGTTTGTATGTTTGTTTGATTGATTGATTGATTGATTATTCGTTTGATTGTTCATTCGTTTGTTCGTTCGATTGTTTGATCGATTGATTGACTGATTGTTTTTGTGTCGGAGGTGAATCCAGAGATCTGGTTCAGTAAAACTTTAAAAGAAGCTGAGTGATGTCAGGCCTGCAGGTCAACTCTCTGCTGAGGATGAGGCTGCACTGCTGACACTGAAAAACTGCTGACTCATCATTTTACCCCTTTCCCCCTAAAACTGTCCACACGTCGTCTCATTTTGTTCACACACAGAATCTGTTCTGCTCCTAAAACCAATGAATTTGATCAAACCTCTTCATTAATACTGATGAAATGAATTTAAAGTGACAGATTTTAGACGGGTGTTTGGTGGGAGAGTCGTCTGCTCGTTGAATTGTTGTCGTCTCGGACGAGAAAAAGATAAA